GTTTTCGACAGGTCCAGCAGTTCATCGTCATCCTTCCGCGATTCTTCAGCCGACGAAGGTCCATCACGCCGGTCTACCTTTAACTGGAGTGATCTCGGGTCACCTCGAGCGGAATCTCCAGAGGAGATGATTATGCCATCTCCCCAGTTCAGATTAGAGCTTTTCCCACCACATATATTCAGGCAGACTGGATACGAATCCGAAGAAGGCTATGAAACGGATGGGGAAGCCACGGAGGAAATTCGAATATCTCCAGCCATGTCACAAATGAGCCAAGTCACGGAGAAACCGACCAAGACACCTCCCTCATCGAGTCCTCCCACCACTGGCCTATCGGAGTGGCAGGTGGTCAATCGACACTCAAAGCCAAGGTCAAATAGAGAGAATCAAACAAACAGGCGGAACAAAGGCTCTCGTCGCTTTAGAGATACCAAGGCCGACACCCCGCTGGTCAAACTGTCCTCAGTCCAAGGAAAAGGATCATCAAGCCGCACATCCGCTGCCGAAACTGCGAGCTCTTTGATGCCGGCTTCGGAGGCTGAACAAGCACTCGCTGCAGTGCGTCGGTTTAGCAACTCTCAAGCGTCTGCTGACGCCCCGCAGCCTAAAATCACCTCTCCACCAGCAAATAAAGAGAATATGCCAACGTATGCGGATGTGGCTACCCGCCGAATGTTGGAGGTCGACCCTACGGTGAAACGCCGCCCATCATCGGTTCCCGTTTCGCAGGCTTTGAATCCAGCTCGCGGCTTGAATTCGAATGACGGGTTGCAGATGAAACCGTCTACTGAGTCGCTAGAAAGCCAAGCGGGCTACACCTTTACGTCTCCACTAGCCCATGATGTGTCTGGCGAATTGATGACCGAGCCTCTCAGTCGATCAACCTACAGTGAGCCCGAGTTCAAAATGCCAAATTACCATCAGGGAGCAAATTTACATACCGCACCTGGATCCCGGGCTCCCTCTCGGCGTGCTTCAATGGCACATCTGGAGGTCCCACGAGGTCTATCTGCAAGCGTACCATCCCTCTTTCCCTACCCACAACCGCTCCCATACGATGAGAACATTTCCGTCGCTTTTCAAAGCCGCAGAAGATCTTCTCAATTAGCATCAAGCCCAATAACCGCCTCAGAAGACCCTGGACCTTTTACCATTGCTCACCCATCCGCAATAATGCCAGGCGCATTGCCATTATCTGACCCCAACATACACATGGGCTCAGCCCCAGAGCGCTCCGCTCTCGAGCCAATGTCGCGTAACTCTTCCGGGTACTCTCACCAATCATGGGCCACAGAACCCGTTCGGTATCCCCCGCGGTTCTCTCCAATTCCAAGTTACCAACAGGCCGCCGAGATGATTCCAACCCCACCATCGAGCATGCAGCATCAACAAATGCTCGCCGGGACTGGTAGCTGGACAGCCGAATTGCCCCTGTTGGGCAGTGCTCTCCAGGCAGATCCCAACTACCCCAGCCCACCCTTGTCCTCACATGGACAGCTCAGCTCCATGGATGAGAGACTGAAGTATCCCGGCCAGGGCTGGAACCAGGAGCTCGAGCCAGCGCGGTATTTGCATTTTGGCGGACACCGCGTTGATGTACGAGACGCACGACACCGACTCCATGGATCGACTCGCCTGCTGCCCCCCTACCCCCATCAGTATCACCTATATCATCCCAATTTGTCAGGTCCTTTAATTCAACATGATGGTCAGGTCTATGCGCCTGCACCCCGACTGGGAGTATATGGGAATGGAACTCGTACGCGCAGTGGGAGCTCCCCTTCGCGCACAAATTATGCTGGCTTGGGTATGCGGTTCTGATGTATTTTAGTATCGGTGTTTTGGCGTTGATTTTTATTATTATTAGTCTTGTTTTTATACTGCATTTGCATACAAGGTTGTTATTTCGGTTTGTTTATTGACCTTTTATACTTGCTCATCTCGCATCTGTGGTTGATTTTGTATAGGGGTTTCTTTCATGAGGCTTGGGTGATACCCCAAAGCATGGTGTTAATTGGAGTTGAGAGTCGATTGACTAAAAATTATACCATCTAGAGGAGCTTCAACGGAAGGGTCGATGTACTTATGTATCTTCAACGCTTCCAATCAAAATCCCATTCAAGAATGTATATCTCATCATTCTGCGAAATATCTGATTATCTAAACTCCTTCGCCCGGACCTCGAACATTACTCTCATATGTCTGACCCGGCGATCCCCAGAAAAAGCTCGCCCTTTTAGCATTATTGTCCTTTCCACGTCGGAGTTCCTTCTCCCGTGCACGAACCCTTTGACTGTGTCTTTGACTCTCTCGCCTTTTGGCTTTTCGGTCTGCTTTTGTAGAATCCTTTCCCGTGAATAGGCTCGTCAACCAATCCATGATCGCGAGGAATGAATATTCTCTAGGCTCGATATGAAGACAGGAACTCAAGGAGATATCAGGTTGGACTAGCAGTACTGCCCTGACAAGAAGCGGGGATTCTCCGATATCCTGACCGAGTAAAACAATATCAGCTGCTAGCTCCACTATCCAAGTAGCTTTGGAATAACGTACTGGGTTGAGCCGTGGCGATATAACCGGTGACGGGATACGTGATACCAATAGGTGTGGTTGAAGTCTTTGCGCAGAAATGAAGGTATGTCACAACGAACTCGCGGAGAAAGCCTCTCAATTTATCTCAATTTAATAACCGATTTGGCCCCCAATTTGAATGCCAGAAGTTGACCCACATCAGATATCTCACACAAGTTATTGTGGTTCTAGTGAACTATATAGTCCAGTTTCTTTTCGATTCAGAGTGTAGGACCAGGGAGAGCTAACCAGAATAGAGTGGACAAAGTAGAAATTAGCAGTAAAAAGAGCCCGATTTTTTTGAAGGTCCATAAAAGGGGTGCGATATTTAGGACTTGCAGATCCCTAGCTTCCGTACTTTCTAAGGGTATATTGTCTCTTTCCGTGCCTACGCATGAGGTAAATTTGATAATTTTACTGCTATTTCTGTATACCGTAGCCTGTATTCCCCCTGAGGTTCCTCCCTGCACATGTGTACTAAGTGTGCCACCTGGACACAACTCTTTCATTGGATTATATTGCCAGTAAATTAGTCCACTCTCACTTTTTAGGGTTAGGAGTAATTAAAATCTCCAGTCAAAATTCTATTAACTTATTTACCTTATATATACTCTAAGTATATTTAATTGATACCTCATAGTTAGATACTCTATGGTAATTCCATACTATAAACTAGTTTTATTCCTATTTTAGAAGCCACAAAAGACCACTAAAAAGACCAGATAAGAAGTAGTATTAAGCCTATATAGTTCATAGTTTTAAACTGGTGTACTATATACTCTAACACCCTACCCTTCCTTGGCTTCTCGGGCCTTAACTTCTTAGGTACCCCTTTTCTTAGTATACAAATGTAAATGGAAATGGCATGTATACTTCGAGAAGGTGATAGCTTCCGGTCAGGCAGTGTCCAACCTTGGAACGGAACCTTCCAAGGTTGGAATAAGAGAGTTATGACTAAGTGTCATCCGTACCCTCAAGATCATCCTTCTACACGAACCATTTTCATCATCCTGCAGTGTTTTCATCCTCCGCTGCCAAGTCCCCTGGCAAGTATGCTACAGAACCCCCGATCAATCAAACAGTAAGTGTGGACGTTTGAATCCGTGAACCGTACAAATGTGCAAACAAATAGTACTTTACTAACACCAAGCAGAAAGCCCACTTGAAAACATGAAGCGAAAGTTATTTAAGCCCGAGCCTGTGCATTTCAACAAGCCCCTCCGCACCGTCGACAACAGTGCCGGTCTGAGTATCATTGAGAGGCTCGATAGGCTAGAAAGCCAAAGTGGCATGATAAACTTCATCATGAGAGGATCAACACTTGACGAATGGGCAGACCTCGACAGCGATACATAAAGAAATCACGCCGTGCACGGCGACTGTGTCCAACTGGATCTAACCACCATCGCCCGAGAAGAGAGAACAAACCCACAGCACGCAGACATGTGGAAGTCTGTTTTTTGTACGCCACTACAAATTACGATACAGTTTCTGTCATGACACACTTAACGACCTTGAGAGTGTTTCAGAAGATGTCATTGGGTTCATTGATGAGAGGGCCAACATCTCTATCCCCGTACGTATATGGAGAAGAGTCCCAAGGATTCAGAGGCAGGAGCTTCTAGCCTGCTACGATGAGTTCATTACCACATTCAAAGAAACCCCAGAACAGGGTATTTCGCCAGCCTTACTAGAACGGATCCAAATTCTCCGCAACAACGCTATGGATCAGCTTAGCGGTTAATCAAATCTTCAACTTCTCCGGTCGCATTTTGCATCTCCCTTGCTGCGGGAATAGCGTTGACATTTTTCTCTGCTGTGGCTTGTCTTTTTTTGCTCTCTTAGCCTTCTTTGCCGGCCTCCTCTCCGGTCGCAGCTGTTATACCTCTCTTACTGCCAGAACATTGATGGAATTTAGATATATGTATTACCCACGTCCTCCTGCCCTCCCCTTGTCCGTTGACCGGATATTACTGTTAATATAATTATCAACTCTGTTGGCTCATTATTTAACCCTTCGGAATAAAACAAAGAATCAATATGTATGATCCGATCCAACGAACCATGATCCAGTTGGAACTAGAGTAGAAAAGAACTCCGAAAACACCACTCAATTTTGGTGGGCCAACTCCGGACTCCGTGTCAAATGATTATGTAGCATTCTTATTGGCTTCCTACAAGATCGATCTTTGAAATTGAGCTCAGATTCCGATCTTTTTGAAGTCTGAGTAAATCCCAGCGTGAAATTCCTCAGTTTATGGAACAGTTTGATTATGAACTGCGTTTTATTACGCCGGAGATGATGCCTTCGGAATAAGGAAACCTCAAGAATGAAAAAAATTATTTGGTATTTATTGTAGAAGACCCAGCTTCTTGCTCCGTACTCTCGTACTCTCTATGCTTTCTATCTACTTGCTGACCATCACGCTATGAAGACGGAATCACAGACACAGTCCACGGGCGAAAACCCCAATGAACAACTTCGTGTAGCAACCCTCGAGGAGCTACAAAACCTGCCAAATGTGGCAGACAAATTACCCGGGCGAGTGTGGCTGGCTTGCTTGATTGCTGCCGCTGAACGATTCAGCTTCTACGGTGTGCAGTCTATGTTTCGTGAGTCACTCGTGTCCCCTTAACACTTTTAATAGGCAAGATCGCTTACATCTAGATATACGGAAAACAGAAAACTCAATCCAATACGGACTCAGCGATAGAATCCCCGGAGTTCTTGGCCTCGGCGAGGCAACAGCTACCCGGATCAATTATGCATTTACGACGATTGTGTATCTGCTGCCCATGCTCACTGGCGCCGTTGCCGATGGGTGGTGGGGAAGATATAGGATGATCAAATGGTCAACTGGGTACGTTATCCGACTTCTTTCCATAACTTGACTCTAACCCGGCTTCTCTCTGAGTTATAGTGTTTACCTGATTGGGCTGGCAACCATGCTCCTCACATCTATCCCCCCAGCTATGGAAGCAGGCGCTGGACCCGCTGGTTTCATCACTGGGTTGGTATTAATTGCGATTGGACTTGGCGGGTGTCAGTCGACCATTGTTCCTTTTATCGGTAGGGTTCTCTTCCACCTCTCTCGGTTATCGAGAATCCTTCATTTCATTGTTATTGATACAGTACTTAGCGGACCAATATGACGAGGTCAGCTCTCGGATTCAAGTCACACAAAAGGGCGAACGGGTGGTGATAACCCGAGACCAAACACTTACCTATATCTATAGCGTCTACTTTTGGTTCGTCTCCCCCTATGGTCTATAATTTTGAATCTCATGTTAGATATTCTAGGATGCTCAATGTTGGCTCTCTGAGTAGTATCGCCACCACCGTCTTGGAAGAGAAGGTTGGTTTCTGGGCAGCATACATAGTGTCGTTCACTTGCATGTTGTTGTCGGTTATTCTACTGCAGATTGGCGATAAGACATTTGGTACGTGCTATGTTCTAAATAATGCACATTGTTGCGAAATCCCCTTCAACTGATCTAATTGAGTCCTGGTTATAGTACAAACCCCACCCTCTGGAACAGTGCTCCCAACTGCATGCAAAGTCGTGGGCTGTTCAATTAAGAATGGATTCAAACTAAAGGCATCATCTCCGGCGTATCAAAAAGCAGTTTATAACCAAACCGTCCCATGGACCGAGGAATTTCACGCTGGGATCTGCTCAGGTTTCAAGGCTGTCAAAGTCTGGTGTGTTCCTCCTTATCTACGCTACCACTTTTATGTCTCTACGAAAATGAAAGGATCTGACCCATGAACCCCCAAACCAGCTGTGCTTGGCCAGCCCTTTGGCTCTGCATTGGCCAAGCCTCTAGCAACGGCATATCCCAAGCTGCCCAGATGCAAACAATGGGCATCCCCAATGACGCCATCAAAACAAGTAATGCAATCGCCCTTGTCATTCTCGGAATAGCAGTCCAAAAGGTATTATATCCAGCCTTGGAAAGGCGCAAAATCCAATTCAAGCCGATGGCCCGCATCACCGTTGGATTGCTGTTCATGACCCTAGGCCTTGCATACGGAACCGCTGTGCAGGCGATGATCTACCACGCGGGACCTTGTTATCAGTACCCGACAGAGTGTGAAGCCTCGGACCATAGACTTCCTAACCATGTGAATGTCTTCGTCACTCTACCAATGTATGTGCTGATCGCCCTAGCGGAGATCTTTGCATTCATTACGGGGAATGAATACGCCTACAAGCAGGCCCCGAAGGATATGAAGAGCGTGGTTCAGTCTATATATGCACTTATGACCGCAATTGGTTCGATTCTCGGAATTGCTTTCTCTCCGTTGTCTCACAATCCCCTCCTGCTTGTGAGCTGGGGTTTGGTGACGGGAATTATGTTTGTGGTAACTTGCCTCTTTTGGGTGATCTTCCACAAGTACGACAGAAGATAAACCCAAAGGTAGTACAACATCCAATAACGGCTTCCATACTTTACATACTTTACACAGAAGACCTGTTCAAAATAGACATCGCCAACACACATAGGTGACTGTGAGGTCTTCTAAGACCGATCGTAGGCCTTTGGGAGACCAGGACGCACCCCGTTAGAAATACCACGCATCCTGGTCATACATATAGTATATAGTACCTCTTGTGTTCCCTGATCAAGAATCTTTATGTACTGATACATCGAGAGAAGAGAATGACCGAACTACTATTTACACACCCTTTTTTTACTAAACCCACACTTATTCAAACTACTGGTATCGAGTCAAACAGACCAGTATACTTGTATTACTTTGTAATATTTATATGACACCTTTAAGAAGCGGGGATATAGGAGCTATGTGGATTCCAACGTCTAAGTCCGTTAAGTCCGACTTGTATTTTTTAATTATGTTCATAAATGTAATTAATCGAATTCCGGAAATATAGTAAGTACATATGTATTGAAATCCTTGATTGCATGGGGACATAAAGAGTGCCAATCTCCCATGTGTAACTTGTATTTCAGTTCAGCACCTTTCCCTCTGAACATCCATCTTCCAATCTCTACACAATCCCTCCACAATGTCTATTCCCATCCGACCCCTTGGTCGTAACGGCCCTAAGGTATCTGCTGTTGGCCTAGGTCTGATGAGTATCGGTGGAGCCTACGGTCCAGCAGGTTCCCTTGACGAAAAGGTTGCTCTCCTGGAGCACGCACATGCCACCGGACAGCGGTTCTGGGATACTGCCGATTTGTATGGCGATAGCGAAGCCATCGTTGGGGAATGGTTCAAGCGCTCTGGAAAGCGTGACGACATTTTCCTTGCTACCAAGTTTGCTCTCAAGCGGGACGCGAAGGTCGGCGTGTCTGTCCGCTCTGACCCCAAATATGTCAAGCAGGCTTGCGCGCAAAGTCTTGCGAAACTTGGTGTTGATACCATTGACTTGTACTACTGTCATCGTGCGGATGGAGTGACGCCTATTGAGAAGACTGTTGAAGCTATGGTGGAGTTGAAGAAGTATGATAACCCTTCCTCACCACCCTTTCCCCCTCCTCCTTCCCTTAGCCCCCACTTTCTCCAGCCTCACTATAATGGTGCATCACTAACTGTCTGACCATATAGCCAAGGAAAGATCCGATACATCGGCCTGTCTGAGGTTTCAGCAGAAACCCTCCGTCGCGCCCACGCTGTCCATCCTATTACCGCATATCAAGTGGAGTACAGTGCCTTTGCACTGGATATCGAGTCACCCACTGTCAACATCCTAAATACCTGCCGCGAGTTGGGTATCGCAGTTGTGGCGTATAGCCCCGTCGGCCGTGGAATATTGACTGGAGAGATTCAGTCTCCCGCTGATATCCCCGAGGGTGACTTCCGCCGTATGGCACCCAAGTACTCCGAGGAGAACTTCCCCAAGATCTTAGAGCTGGTGAAAGGGTTGAAGACTGTGGCTCAGGCACATGGAAGTACCCCTGCACAGGTTGCTATTGCGTGGCTTCTTGCCCAGGGACCTGATATCTTCCCCATTCCAGGAACCAGGTCCCCCAAGAGGGTTGACGAGAACACTGCGTCTGCTCTGCTAGAGCTGACCGACAATGAGGTTCAAGATATTCGAGACTTGGTAGAGCGAACTGAGATTGTTGGGACTCGGTACCCTGCTATGTAAGTTGCCTTTTGTTATTGTCGATGTTTGGGGTTCCCTACTAACCGTTACTATAGAATGATGGGTAATATCTTTGCCGATACACCGCCGCTCTAGACGGGTAGTAGTTGCTTGACACAGCCAATATGTATTTACGATTGCCAGTCAGTTTGATTCAACCTAGTGTTAGTTCATCACACGACCAAGTCCGATAGTATCTGATCATCCCTTGCCAAAACAATTTCATTGTGAACATGCCCAGAGGTCCAAGTAATGCCATCTTCTCTCAGCGATACAATTGCTTTGGAGTGCTATAAATAGTTTATACGGGGTATCAAAATTTTTAAGTGATGACGAGTACTGATTTCAACAATAGTGCGAACCTGGCTTTGAAACATCGAAGCTAAAGCCCGCCTAATAACTGTAGATAGGACCCCCATAGCACCTCTATATTTTAGCCAACCATTATCTATAACTGGAAAACCTCTGTAGCCTGGTTAAGCACACACGTCGCTCCACGAACCAGCACAGCCGGCTCGTAGCGGAGAATTTCCAATTCATGCAGAGGATTGAACGGAGAAGGTTCCGGAAAAGAGACAGACCCAGACCCAAGCCAGACCTCTTTCGTCTTGATTTCCATGACGGTGGGAACCAGCTCTTTAACCGATGGTAGCTGGTTTGCCAGCGGCGAGGGAATGACGCGAAGATTCAATGCGTTGATATTCTGGTCCGTAGCAGGAAGGAGACTCGAGGGTGCAAAATTGAAGTTGACAATCTTCTGTCCTACCGGTCTCTCGACATGGCCCTGGAATATGTGTGAACTAGTATCCATGTTGAGGGAAACGTATCCGAAACGCTTGGGGTAGCCGTATTGCTCACGGCCGCAGAGGATGGCGGATTCGTTGTTTAGAATTAAAGAGAGAGAGTAGTCGTAGGTTTTGCCTTTGTATGTCACTTCGACATTGTGGATATACTCTTTGTATGTGCCGACGGTGCTCATGCCATAGTCGACTAACATGGCATAAACCAATGGTTCATCTTCTAGCTCGAGCACATCTGGTACCAAATGACGGATACTGGCGGAGGTGACGCGGTAGGCGATCTTGAGGAGGGTGACATCGGTGAAATGCTGGATGTTCGTCTTATATGGAGGAGCGAATTGAGGGACGCCATTGGCGGTCACGGAGAGAGTTCCAAAAGGCATTTTGAGAGACTAAGGTGGCTATGAAGACAGAATATAAAGACTACTTGGAAGTATCTAGGTATTTGGAAGTGATTGTCAACCTATTTTATACTTCCACTCACCTAAAATATGTATATGACGTTGTACTCTGTACTCCGTACGTACGTAGTACATATGTGCCATACATTCGGGTACCGGCTGCTACGATACACAGCATCTCGGAATCTCAAGTTGCCGTAATATCCGATGTTAACTCCAGAGAGCTCTCTGGGAATAATGTGATCTGACACAAGTTTGGAATCAGCCAATTGTATAAAGTAGGTCAGAACCAAGGAATGTGGGCGGGTGATAGCTCCACAGTAAACTCTAATGCTGACAAGCTTACAACATGTTCTAGCGGCCATTCGGTTGACTGAAATTAGTAAGCTAGGCACAACCGGGGCCACCACTCGCCCCGCATCTATAATACAGTGTTAATAAAATTGATATCACTATGAAGGCGGCGCGTAAAAGTGTATATCTTACTTAGTATATGACGAGAAGGTAAAAGAGGGCGAGTAAATTATCTAGATGGCGTGATGGCCTCTAAAATCTACTGTACCGCAATCGGCTTGGCATCTCTTGGCCTTTTTAGCTTAATCCGTCATAAATTTAAGTAAAAAACCGAACGTACCGGACGGATTTAAGACCGGTGAACTCAAGTAGTATTTATACCTCGAAATTATGCGCATCATAATCAGGAGAACTAGTTGTTTCTGAGCTATGTAAAGAAAGTATGTAGTAATCGTGCCAAGCGCCCAACATCACCCTGGTGTTGGTGCGCCCCAGTCAACGATAATTCTAGAAATTAGGTACCTTTTGTATGGGCTTGTCATACAAAAGGTACAGAGGATATAAAATTAACAACATCCATTTTTGTCAACCCCCCATATAGGTAGGGAAGTTGTAGTTGTGTATATATATATATACTTAAAGGCCTTTAGTTAAGTAAATAATAATATTGACCAGGAATATTAAGTATACTTAAAGTACTAGAACATTTTAAGTTCTACAACTTTTGTATATGGTACTTTTTTAATATGCTCCTCACACTTTCACATAAATTATTTAGAATTAATTCTAGTATTAGAATGGTTTAATCATACTTATAATAGTATTCTTATTTATCTTTTTAGTTAGTTTGAGGGTTGATGAGAATGGATATTATCAATTTTTGTGTCCTTTTGTACTTTTTGTATGATAAGCCCATACAAAAGGTACCTAATTTCTAGATTTATCGTTGACTGGGGCGCACCAACGCAGGAAGCTGTGTTGGGCACTTGGGCGATTACCAAGCTATTACAATCGATTACTCGAACAACCTTGAACAGTCAAAACAAGATACATAGTTATGTGCAAAATAGTCACGGAAACACCATAATTCTAGGAATGTTTGTATTCCACGCTTACTAACTGAATAATATAACTACGAGTATTATCCCTCACGCTTCAACACATGTTCATAACGCATCAAATACTTCGTGATTTTTGGTATTGATATGACGAGTCCGCATCATCCATATAATTCTGAAAGATGAACCGCCATTGTTCGAAGAACCACGGCATAACTTCCCAGCAGTAAGGGTGCCATGGGGCATCTCCTTCGGGCCAGGACTCGTTGGAGGATATCCAGCACCGGATGCCATTGTGTACCAAGTCGTTGGCAAATTCATTGTGGTCGATCATGGGAGGGTTTCCCTGTAATGATATGATAAGTCGTGACCGTACGGATGGCCATGGAAGCGTATCAATATAGCGATAATGTGGGATCGTGAGTTGCTCCCAGGTCGGTGAAAGGCTCAAAGCCATCCTGGGAAACGAGCCGCCCGAGGACGGAGATCGGGCATTAGGGTTCATGATCTCCGCAAGAGGAATCGATAAAAGGCGTGCATTGATTACGCAGGCAGACGCAAACGTCAGCCATGGGGTGGCGGGGGAGGTATAATAGAGGGGCGGTTTCATACCGCAGAGCGACAATTCATGAGGGCGAGGTAGGGAGTAAGAAATTCCGAACGGATGATCGGCTGGTCCCTCTAAACTTGCCAAGAAGCGCATTCCAGCACTGCATACGGCTCCGATATCCAGACCGCCCAAAGTTTTGGTGAGTGACTCCGCCCAGGGCGTCAAAGGAGCGCATAGGGCGCGGTCGAAAGAGTCGGAGTCAATGGCTGAGCCCATAAGAATAATCCCGTATTTAATAATGTCTCTAAACCCCAGATTTTCAGCAGCCATGATGGAAGCCACATTTGTGCGTTCTGAGTCTGAGGCTAAAGAATGTAGCAGCATGTCCCATCTGGGAGAAGATGACTTGATCATATGCTGGTTGGAAAGCCCGCTACTCGGTATCATTGAGGGAAGTCGGAATTCTGGGATCTTCCCCGCAGCTGGTTCAGAGGAGCCTTCGCCTGCGTGATTGTGCCTTCTATGGGACCCCAGGGGATTATGTGCAATAAGTCCCATTTGTTTAGCCCCTACCATAGCAGAGCATATTAGTATTTATTGACCAATAGCTGGCCAATCGTCGGTGAGCTGGCGATATGAATCGTGGTTTACTGACGACGTCGACGTTGTGCTGTTGCATTTTGATACTTTCGTCTCTCCTTGACCCAAGGCAACGGAGAAGGAACACGACCATTGACACACGGCTGTTTTTGTATACTGGAGCCCCCCATGAGTACTAAGGTGAATATGGATTGAGGTTATTGGCTATTGGAAGGGAGAAGAGGGAAAAGTGGTGAACTGGCTACCTCGGCACGGACCTCGGGAGTCGGGAGCATAACTCACTTTCCAATCCTGGGGAGCCGATCCAGGGCAACGGGGGTATTACTAATTTATTACTAATTTCTCCAGTTGCCGGGCACTGCCCTGGAGGTGCCCACCGGGGTAGGGCTGAGCAAGGCTGGGCAGGTACTGTCCCTAATCCCCCGGGGGTGGTAGCCCCTAACCCCCTTAAATTAGGGGTTCTTGCCTGCGGAAACCCAACTTTGCATCAAAACCACTAGCAGCAAGGAGCGGATGTTAAATTAGAGTAATGTGCCGTAGAGCCTCAATTTCTTGTTAACTAGAGCGCCCATTCAATTTAGCATACATAGCTAACATAAGAAAAGCGAACTGCGTAGAAGAAAATTAAATGTCTCAAATTCTATGTATCATCTGCAACATTAAGCTATAGCACCAAAATATTAATCATGCTTCTTTCTGCAATATAAGCACCCCCAGATGCCAAAGAGACATATCTCATTAAAACGAACTCTTTTCATCAGCTGCTCTAGTGACTGCAACAGCCCCTTTCTCCGCGTAACCAGGGTCAACAGCGTCAATGTACCCGTCACTCCCAGCAACATCATCATCCTCGACAAAGTCCTTAGGCTCCATCCATCCAGATGTCTTCTCCATATCAGCAGGGGGGAAAGCTAAACAGGACGCGTAATAAACGCCAAACCCGATGATCAGGCCGGTAGGATAAGCGATATAGTAGAATCTTTGGATACCTAGAGGGGCCTTGACACCCATCTGGAAAAGGAAGCCGTAGAAGTTGGGCGCAATAGCAATAACGTAGGCCAAGAAGGCACGCGGGTTGAATCCGTGGAAGTATCGGTACGGACTTGGTTTTGAGACGTAGAGGGCTGGGATGTTGAGTAGACCTCGACGGACTACGTAGTAGTCGCAAATGAGAATGCCGGTGATGGCCGATAGGAAGATTTGGTAGGAGGAGAGGAATGTGATGAAGATTGAGGCGGATGAGAGGAGATACCAGGGGCAGATGGCGTAGGAGAGGACTGGGTTTGGTTGTTAGTATTGGGCTCTGGCAAGTGGGATGGTTCAAGTTTCTTTTCTTACCGGCACAGATGAAGAATCCTCGTTTGACTGAAATATATCTTGGTAGTAGGGCTGCAATGTCGTTGCCCGCACTGATTATTGTTAGTGTTTGGCGTAGAGAGGTGTGAAAAAGGAATTCTTACGGGATAGAGTTCTCGAAAATGGCAGAGAAGACAGTCGAATAAACGAATGCCAGAGAAATGAAGGCACAGGCGGCGCGGTTACCGGAGGTGTATCGCTCTCCTTCCATCAATTTATCCAAGAAGTTCAGCGGGTTCCAAATGAGCTAGGAAATTCCGTCAGTCTAAAGTCTTAAACGGGGCTTTTGATATAACAAACCTCTCCAAATATCTCTTTGCTAGCCGATGCGATGAGATTGCCCAGAATAGCAACTAGGAAATTCGACAGTGGGAAACTGATAAATTGGCCAATGAGGACATCGTTAGGCTTTGTAGCATATCGCTGGAGATCGGACGCGTTGGAGATAAAAGTTCCGCAACTTGCGAGTCCCAAGAAGAAGAATTTGAAAATAAGATAACTCTTCTCGGCGCCCTTGATCTCCGAGGGCGCATTGATTGACTTCAGAGAGCCACCGGCGAGAGACACAGTCCATCCCAGCATAGCAAAGGCTGCGCCAAAGTAGACAACAACTTTGGCATAGACCAGGGACTTCATCTTTGGTACAGGCACTACTAAGAATGCACAGTTGATAAACCTGTCGGGACTGGTGAGCAATAGATCAAGTATTGGGATACTAGTTATGGTACCAATAGACGAAGAAACACATCATCTGTGCTGAAGTCAAAGCCGACTTGGATCCCATCTTATCGGGGATGTTTTCAATAGAAGGGAATATAGCATGGAGAAAGACGCTAGAAACGAACGTTAATAACAACACCCTCGGCGCTTCCCTGGGGAAAACGAGATAAGATATAAACTCACTATAAACACTGTCCTCCCTGAACGGAATTGACACCGTTCCATACAATTGACATGGCCGCACGATTAAACGTCGGCCACAATGCTCCCCAGTGCCCAAAGCTGGCGCGACAAAGGACAGGGAACGGAATGCGGTACATAGCACCACCACGCCCGTTCACTGCCATCAAGGCACCGGCAAGAATCTGGCCACCGAAGGAGCATCCGATGGCTTCCCACATGGTTAATCCCATGGACATACCCGTGGAAGCTGTGTACAGATTACTGACGTTCGCAGTCGCAGAGAACCAGAACATGATATAGGTGAGTTGGGACCATGTTCGATCCTTTACTGGTGTTGGTCGGATAGAGTCATTGTCAAGCATATCCACTGGGCGAGGAATACCATCTCGTTCAGCTCTTTTCACTATTAAGAGCTCATCGAGCCGCGATAGCTTGGACATAATTGCGGTGGATTTGGTGGGGTAGAATGTGGAGAAAAAGGAGTAAGAAGGTAAAAGGTGGAATTCGAGTGCTGATCTTAGTGGCGAACTCTGAAACTTGAATAAAAAGGGGGAGGTAGAGAAGTACACGCAAGATATATGGTTTTTAGGGTTATTTAGCCCCCTTCCAATGGACCTGATAAGCAGTCAACTCCCAATTGTCCACTGGTCTACAAAAACTCTCATAACTATCCAAGGAGGCGCCGACGATACTATCTCCGAGAAAAAAAAAGCGAATGTCACAGATGTAACGGTCTATCTTGGCTTATCATTTCAGCCACACGCAGGCGTAGATAGCCCCGGCGATTCCCGTCAATGCTTCTCCGACGGTCACCGGTGGAATTTGACTTGACAATCTTACGAACATATTGCGGGGGAAGAACGATGGATAAATTCACGAGCATTCTCGACTTAGTATTGGTCATATATCGAAATAGTCATGACAACCCTGCTCGAATACACCCAAGTTGAACTCTTGACGCTCAGCGGGTCAGAATTCCGCCGGGTGTCAACTGCTCCTCCGCGTCTACCAACCGAGGATGAGATTCCAATCATAGATCTCGCTTCTATTGACAGAGATCTAGAAGCGAGAAAGATTATCGCGTCCAAAGTCAGAGTTGCGGCCGAGAACACGGGCTTCTTCTATATCAAAAATCATGGTATTTCAGAAGAGCTCATTCAGAAAGCCTTATCCCAAGCAAAAGCTTTCTTCGATCAGCCGATCGAAAAGAAACAGCTAGCCTCAAGCAAGACTCAAAAGAATGCAGATGGATGGCATGGGTTGGGGAGCAGCCAAATTAACAAAACCGAAACCAGGGGTAAATACTCCCCTTTCACCCCCACCAGGGCAGGTCTATCCTTATCATATTACCAATAACTGACAATGAACATTCTCAGATCGTAAAGAGACATTCTCTCTGCGCTACAATCTCAGCAACGATCCAACTGTCTCTGATCCAGACACGCTGACCACCGGCGATGACTTTGCATGGGATACAACAAGCCATCTCCCTGGGTTCCAGGAAACCACAATTGAATTCTTCCAGAGGCGTCTCACGCTCGCGCGCAAGATCATCCGTATCTTTGCTCTCGCTCTATGCATGCCGGAAGATTATTTTGACGAGGTGATCACAAACCCCGGTGCAGACGGGCTTTACACGCATTACCCCGCTGCACCAGTCGAGACACTCGAAGGCAACGAGGATGTTGATGTCGGCATCGGCTCGCATACCGATATCCAGTGCGTCACTCTTTTGTGGCAGGATATGTCTGGCGGTTTGCAGGTCCTATCTGGCAGTGATGAGTGGCTCGATGCTCGTCCTATCGCTGGCACGATCGTGGTTAATATTGGCGATTTACTGCAGCGTCTTTCGAATAATAGGTTCAAGTCCACGGTGCATAGGGTTTATAATCGTCAACCTACCTCGAGATATTCGATGCCTTTCTTCCTGGGTTTCAATCCGGATTCAGTTTGTCGGGTTGTGCCTTCGTGTATTGATGAGGCTCATCCTGCGCTTTATGGACCGATCTCTTGTGGAAAGGTAAGTCCTACCCAGACCCCCATCGATACTTCGAAATTGGATGTACCTAACTTTCACATCCAGTGGCATCGAAACCGACTTGAACTCGCCCACGGAAAGCCCATTTCTCCGTGAAGATCAGATTTCGGAGAGATATGTATTCAAGTTTAATTTAACGTCAAATAATACATGCGATTTGTATAGATTTCAAAATTGTTGCATAGAGCCATTCATCCCGTCCCAGTCGGAAGCAGGCATCGAGTCAATAAACCGAAACGGAGCCCAGTCTGCGACCGACCCTGGATATGAATAGAATGTGTCCTCGGGAACTACAGCCACCTTCGAATCCAAAAAGTCTTTTGCCTTCTTCTGCACAACATTCGTTGCCCAGCTAAACACCCCCTCAATGCTCCTCGGAATCCTAGCCTGCGTCCGAACATCTTCCATCAACGTATATGTTGCTTGCACGTCCGATATACTCGAGCAGTACTCTGCTAGCGTGACGCCCGCATATGCGGTAAGCAGGTAGTCGTATGTTGGTCTAACAAACGCAGTA